CTCTTGATCTACGTACAGGTTCCTCATGAGCACAATCAAGTGTTCTGGAATTCCCATTCTCCGAAATGTTATCCATAATTTGTTATGATGCACACAATTGAATGCCTTTGCATAGTCAATAAAACACAGGTAAATATTTTTCTGGTATTCTCTGCCTTCATGCAGGATCCGTCTGACATCAGCAATGATATCCCTGGGTCCACATCCTCTTCTGAATCTGGCTTGAATTTCTGGCAGTTCCCTGCCGATATACTGCTGCAGCCACTTTTGAATGATCTTTAACAAAATTTTACTTGCATGTGATATTAAGGATATTGTTCAAAAGTTTCTGAATTCTGTTGGATCACCTTTCTTGGGAATAGGCATCAACATGGATCTCCTCCAGTCGGTTGGCTAGGTAGCTGTCTTTCAAATTTCTTGGCATAGACAAGTGAGCACTTCCAGCGCTGCATCCATTTGTTGAAACATCTCAATTGATACTTCCTCAATTCCTGGAGCCTTGTATTTCATCAACGCCTTCAGTGCAGCTTGGACCTCTTCCTTCAGTACCATCGGTTCCTGATCATATGCTACCTTTTGAAATGGTTGAGCATCGACCAGTTCTCTTTGGTATAATGACTCTGTGTATTCCTTCCATCTTCTTTTGATGTTTCCTGTGTTGTTTAATATTTTCCCCATAGAATGCTTCACTATTGCAACTCGAGCCTTGAATTTTTTCTTCAATTCTTTCAGCTTGAGAAATGCTAACCGTGTTCTTCCCTTTTGGTTTTCTATCTCCAGGTCTTTGCACATGTCATTACTTTGTCTTCTCGAGCCACCCTTTGAATCTTCTGTTCAGCGCTTTAACTTCGTCAGTTCTTCCTTTTGCTTCAGCTACTCGACATTCAAGAACAAGTTTCAGAGTCTCTTCCTACCAGTCAAAAAAGTCATTCCATTGTGGTTGCCAAATCTCAGAATTTTTCTTTTCTAATTTACTGCGCAGAAAAACTAGTTTATCCAGCTCAAAGGAGCCCCACGGTGGACATTGGTTTTCTAAATTGTCTTTAGTAAAATCATTCCAGCACCCAAAAACAAGCAGGTACAAGGGCCAAAGTTTTTTTCATATAAGCAGCCAGACTGCCTGAAGGCAGATTTGCTGAGTCCTTGTTGTCGTTAGGTGCTGTTGAATCAGTTCTGACTCATAGCGACCCCATGTACAACAGAACGAAACACTGCCCCATCCTGCGCCATCCTCACCGTCATTCCTATGTTTAAGCCCATGGTTTCAGCCACTTGTGTCAATCCATCTTCTTGAGGATCTTCCTTGTTTTGCTGACCCTCTACTTAACCAAGCATGATGTCCTTCTCCAGGGACTGGTTCCTCCTGATACCATGTCCAAAGTAAGTGAGATGAAGTCTTGCCATCCTCTCGTCTAAGGAACATTTTGGCTGTATTTTTTCCAAGATAGATTTGTTCATTCTTCTGGCAGTCCATGGTATATCCAATATTCTTTTCCAACACCATAATTCAAAGGCATGGATTCTTCTTCAATCTTCCTTATTCATTATCCACCTTTCGCCTGCACATGAGGTGACTGAAAACACTATGGCTTGGGTCAGGCACACATTAGTCCTTAAAGTGATATCTTTACTTTTTAACACTTTTAAAGAGGTCTTGCAGCGTATTCGTCCTATGCAATGTGTCATTTGATTTCTTGACTGCTGCTTCAATGGGTGTTGATTGTGGATCCAAGTAAACAAAATCTTGACAACTTCAGTCTTTCTCCATTTATCATGATGTTGCTTATTGGTGCAGTTGTGAGGATTTCTGTTTTCTTTATGTTGAGATCTAGTTCATATTGAAGGCTGTAGTCTTTGGTCTTCATCAGTAAGTACTTCAAGTCCTCTTCGTTTTCAGCAAGGAAGGTTGTTGTCATCTGCATAACACAGGTTGTTAATGAGTTTTCCTCCAATCCTGATGTCTGTTCTTCTTCCTATAGTCCAGCTTCTCAGATTTTTTTGCTCAGCATACAGATTGAATAGGTGTGGTGAAAGGATATAACCCTCACACATACCTTTTCTGACTTTAAACCACGCAGTATCCCCCTGTTCTGTTTGAAGGATGCCTCTTGATCTATGTACAGGTTCCTCATGAGCACAATTAAGTGTTCCAGAATTCCCATTCTTCACAATTTTATCTACAATTTGTTATGATCCACACAGTCGAATGCCTTTGCATAGTCAATAAAACACAGGTAAACATCTTTCTGGTATTCTCTGCTTTCAGCTAGGATCCATCTGACATCAGCAATGATATCCCTGGTTCCACATCATCTTCTGAATCTGGCTTGAACTTCTGGCAGCTCCCTGTCGATGTACCACTGCAGCCATTTTTGAATTATCTTCAGCAAAATTTTACTTTTGTGTGATTTTAATGATATTGTTTGATAATTTCTGCATTCTGTTGTGCTGAGTCCTTATAGATGACATTTTCCACCTTGCTGAAACAGTGAACACACATGCTATTGAATCCTGAATGTGCACAGAAACCTAAATGTGCACTGAGACCTGAATTTACGCTGAAACCTGAATGTGCACTTCAGAAAGAGAAGGTGAGTTCAAACTTAATGGATTGAAATCTTAAATCTGCCAAATTCAATTAGAGTCCTGTCAGGGGTTTGCCGCACAGTGTGGACTGGTTTTGCATCCTATGCTTGTGATTTTTTGGCTTATTAGGCTTAGGAGAATTGCAGCAACAGCCGCACCAAACTTAATTTGGTAACGAACTCACAAAACGTTTAGAGTGTAAACTGAAAATGAAAGTACAAAAGAAGTCCAATAATAAAACCTGAAGAAGGACAAGTCAAGGAAGTGGGGCTTGATTCAAGAGACTTTTTACCTGGGATGTCTCCTGAAAGTCTGTGGAGACAGATGGCCTCAAGGAGCCCACACGGGTACTGAAGCTCTGGATTCTCAACTTATCAGGGCTGCCGAAGATAATACTTTCGAATCCCACTTCTGACACCAGAAAATGTCAAACAATAAGAATGCATTATTGTTGTTGTTAGGTGCCATTGAGTCAGTTCCAACTCATAGCGACCCTGTGTACAACAGAACAAAATACTGCCTGGTCCTGCACCATCCTCACAATCATTTTCATGCTTGAGCCCACTGTTGCAGACACTTGAGTCAATCCATGTCATTGGGGGTCTTCTCTTTTTCGCTGACCCTCTGCTTTACCAAGCATGATGTCCTTCTCCAGGGACAGATCCCTCTTGATAACATGTCCATAGTATGTGAGACGAACTCTCACCATCCTTGCTTCTAAGGAGCATTCTGGCTATTCTTCTTCCAAAACAGATTTGTTTGTCCTTCTGGAAGTCTCTGGTATAGTCACTATTCTTCTCCTATACCATAATTCAAAGGCATCAATTCTTCTTTGGTCTTCCTTATTCATTGTCCAGCTTTTGTATGCATATGTGGCAATTAAAAACTTCATGGCTTGGGTAGTCTGTTAAAATAAAGAGATTTATCAAGGAATAAAACAATTTGCCAGGTGGGCAGCAACCCTGTAGAGAATACAAACTTGCTCCAAAGTATTGGGATTGAAGTGTGCTTTTATAGTAAAAATGGGGAAAAGGAGTCTGTGATAGTCGTATGGTTACAGCCACAAGGTGGGTACGTCTTCAACCATTCTGTTTTCAACTACGTTCTTCCTGGAACATCTTGAGTAGATTCATTTTCCTACAGTCACATTCCTAACCCCCAAATCTTAAAGAGTGGCTTGGGGCAAAAGCCAGGTGGTTAAACAAGATGATTGACAGGGGGCCAGGGTCTCCTGCTTCCACCCAGCCAGAGGCCCAAGGCTGTATGCACATGAATGGGAAGAATCAAGATTACGTTCTCAAGAATGCAGGAGCAGGAACTTGTAACAAAATGAAGTTTTGATTCAGACCTTATGTCAGCCATTTTATTATGTCAAGTGCGTCTGTTTTAGAAGTTTGCTAGTACAAATCCTTGTTCCATGTCTGGTATATGATAGGCTCTGTATTAATGCTTGTTCCTCACCTTGTATACAGTAGGCTCTGCATTAATGCTTGTTCCATGCCTGGTATACAGTAAGCTCTCCATTAATGCTTGTTCCACGCCTGGTGTACATTAGGCTCTGCATTAATACTTGTTCCATGCCTGATATACAGTATGAATTTCATTCATGCTTGTTCCCTTAATGGATGAGCAGAAAGTTCGTTCCCAGTCTTTGATACGCTTTGGCGCTTCCCCAGGGAAGCGGCGGCTCCCTGCGCACGCGCAGACCTGGAAGGCTGGGACCC